ACACAATAATGATTTTGCATGCAATAATGTTGTTGCACACAGTAATGTTGTTGCACACAATAATGTTGTTGCACACACTAATGTTGTTGCACACAAAAATGTTGTTTGACACAATAATGTTGTTGGACACAATAATGTTGTTGCACACAATAATGTTGTTGGGCACAATAATGTTGTTGGAACACAATAATGTTGTAGGACATAATAATGTTGTTGTACACAATAATGTTGTTGCACACAATAATGATGTTGGACACAATAATGTTGTTGCACACAATAATGTTGCACACAATAATGGTGGTGGACACAATAATGTTGTTCGACACATAAATGTTTTTGGACACAATAAATTTGTTTCTTACAATAATATTGTTCGACACAATAATGTTGTTGCACATAATGCTGTTGGACAATAATATTGTTGGACACAATAATGTCGTTGCAAACAGTAAAGTTGTTGCACACAATAATGTTGTTGGACACAATAATGTTGTTGCACGCAATATTGTTGGACACAATAATGTTGTTGCACTCAATAATGTAGTTGGACACAAAAATGTTGTTGGACACAATAATATTGTTGGACAAAATAATGCTGTTGGACACCATTTTGTTGTACACAAAAATGTTGTTGCACACAGTAATGTTGCTGCACACAATAATATGGTTGCACACAATAATGTTGTTGCACACAATAATGGTGTTGGACACAATAATGTTGTTGGTTACAATAATCTTGTTGCACACAATAATGTTGTTGGACACAATAATGCTGTTTCACACAATCATGTGGGACACAATAATGTTCTTGCACGCAATGCTGTTGGACAATAATGGTTTTGGACACAATAATGGTGTTGCACACAGTAAAGTTGTTGCACACAATTATGTTGTTGCACACAATAATATTGTTGCACACAATAATGTTGTTGGACACAATAATATTGTTGGACACAATAATGTTGTTGCATACAATATTGTTGTTGGACACAATAATATTACTGCACACAATAATGTTGTTGGACACAATAATGTTGTTGCACACAATAATGTTGTTGCACACACTAATGTTGTTCCACACAATAATGTTGTTGTACACAATAATGCTGTTGGACACAATAATGTTGTTGGATATAGTAATGTTCTTGCAAACAATAAAGTTGTTGGACACAATAATGTTGTTGCTAACCTTAATGTTGTTGGACACAATAACGTTGTTGGACACAAAAATGTTGTTGGACACAATAATGTTGTTGGACACAATAATATAGTTGGAGGTAATACTGTTGTTGGACACAATAATGTTGTTGCACACAGTAATGTTGTTGCACACAATAATGTTGTACTACACAATAATGTTGTCGGACACAATAATGTTGTTGGACACAATAATATCGTTGGACACAATAATTTTGTTTCACACAATAATGTTGTTGCACACAATAATGTTCTTGCACACAGTAATGTTGTTGCACACAATAATGTTGTTGCACACAATAATGTTGTTGGACATAATAATGTTGTTGGTCAGAATAATGTTGTTGCACACAGTAATGTTGTTGCACACAGTAATGTTGTTGGACACAATAATATTGTTGCACACAATAATGTTTTTGGACAAAATAATGTTGTTGGTTTCAATAATGTTGTTGCACACAATAATGTTGTTGCACACAATAATGTTGGACACAATAATGTTGTTGCACACAATAATGTTGTTGGACACAATAATGTTGTTGGACACAATAATATTGTTGCACACAATAATGTTGTTGCACACAATTATTTTGTTGGACACAATAATGTTGTTTGACACAATAATGTTGTTGGACACAATAATGTTGTTGCACAAAATAATGTTCTTGGAAACAATAATGTTGTTGGACACAAAAATGTTGTTGGACACAATAATGTTGTAGGACATAATAATGTTGTTGGACACCATAAAGTTGTTGGATACAATAATGTTGTTGCACACAGTAATGTTGTTGCACGCAATAATGTTGTTGCACACAATAATTTTGTTGCATACAGTAATGTTGTTGCTCACCTTAATGTTGTTGCACACAATAATGATGTTGCACATAGTAATGTTGTTGCAAACAATAATGTTTTTGGACACAATAATGTTGTTGGACACAATAATGTTGTTGTACACAATTATGTTGTTGCACACAGTAATGTTGTTGCACAGAATAATGTTGCACACAGTAATGTTTTTGCACACAATAATGATGTTGCAAACAATAATGTTGTTGGAGACAATAATTTTGTTGGACACAATAATGTTGTTGGACACAATAATGATGTTGCACTCAATAATGTTGCTGCACACAATAATGTTGTTGCACACAATGATGTTGTTGCACACAATAATGATGTTGCACTCAATAATGTTGCTGCACACAATAATGATGTTGCACACAATAATGTTGTTGCACACAATAATGTTCTTGGACACAATAATGTTGTTGCAAACAATTATGTTGTTGGACACAATAATGTGGTTGGACACAATAATTGTTGTTGGACACGAAAATGTTGTAGGACACGATAATGTTGCTGGACACAATAATGTTGTTGGACACGATAATGTTGTTGGACACAATAGTGTTGTTGCACACAATAATGTTGTTGCACACAATGATGTTGTTGGAGACAATAATGTTATTACACACAATAATGTTGTTGGACGCAATAATGTGGTTGGACACAATAATGTTATTGGACACAATAATGTTGTTGCACACAATAATGTTGTTCGACACAATAATGCTGCTGGAGACAATAATGTTGTTGCTCAGTGCACTCAATAATGTTGTTGGACACAATAATGTTGTTGCTCACTGCACACAATAATGTTGTTGCACGCTGTAATGGTGTTGCTCACTTGACTCACTAATGTTGTTGGACACAATAATGTTGTTGCTCACTGCACACAATAATGTTGTTGCACAGAGTAATGTTGTTGCTCACTTCACTCAACAATGTTGTTGGACACAATAATGTTGTTGCTCACTGCCCACAATAATGTTGTTGCAGGCAGTAATGTTGTTGTTCACAGTAATGTTGTTGAAAACCGTTATGTTGCTGCACATAATTATGTTGCTGCACAAAAATGTTGTTACACTCAATAATTTTGTTGCACACAATTATGTTGTTGCACACAATAACGATGTTGCACACAATAATTTTGGTTGCGCAAAGTAATATTGTTGCACATAATAATCTTGTTGCAAAATAATGTTGTTGCACACAATAATGTTGTTGTATATAATGTAGTTGCACAAAATAATGTTTCAAAATATGTTTGTTGCACACACTAATGTTATTGCACATAATAATGTTGTTGTACACAATAATGTTGTTTCACACAATAATGTTGTTGCACAAAACAATATTGTATAGCACACAATAATTTTGTTGCACAAAACATTGTTGTATAGCACACAATAATGTAGTTGCACAAAATAATGTTGTTGCATACAATAATGGTTGTAAAATAATGTAGTTGCACAAAACAATGTTGTATTGCATACAATAATGGTATTGCACACAATAATGTAGTTGCACAAAATAATGTTGCAAAATAATGTTGTTGCACTCAATAATGTTGCACACAATAATGTTGCACAATAAAGTTGCACAATAATGTTATTGCACACAATAATGTTGTTACAAACAATAATGTAATTGCACAAAATAATGTTGCAATTTAATGTAGTTGTATACAATAATGTTCATGCAAAATAATTTTGTTGCACTCAATATGGTGTTTCACATAGTAATGTTGCACAAAATAATTTTCTTAAATAAGATTGTTGCACACAATAATGCTGTTGGACACAATAATTATAGTAACAAAAAATAATGTTGCAAAATAATGTTGTTTCACACAATATGTTGTTTCACACAATCATGTAGTTGCATATAATAATGCTGTTGAACATAATAATGTTGTTGCACAAAATAATGTTGCAAAATAATGTTGTTGCACATAATAATGTAATACACACAACATGTTCTTCCACATAGTAATGTTGCACACTGCAGACAATATGGTGTTGCACACTGCACACAATAATGTTGTTGCACACAACAAAGTTATTGCACCACTCTGCACAATAATGTTGTTGCACACAATAATGTTGTTGGACGCAATAATGTTGTTGCACACAGTATGTTGTTGCACATTACACACAATAATGTTGTTGCACATTACACACAATAATGTTGTTGCACACAGTATTGTTGTTGCACACAATAATGTTATTGCACATAATAATGTTGTTGCACACAATAATGTTGTTGCATACAATAACGATGTTGCACACTATAATGTTGCACACAATAATGTTATTGCACACAATAGTGTTGTTGCACACAATAATGTTGTTGCACACAATAATGTTGTTGCACACAAAAATGTTGTTGCACACAATAATGTAGTTCCACACAATAATGTTGTTGCACACAATAATGTAGTTGCACACAATAATGTTGTTGCACAGAATAATGTTGTTGCACACAATAATGTTTTTGCAAAGCCTATATAGTTGCACTCGCCGATATCGACTTACATAGCAATTCAGACGCAGTTAGCATTCTAGGCTCATAAGGAGGGGTAGTTGCACATATAAATACTAAAATGTTCTTACATTCTGATATAAACACACACGTGATAGGGATGCACACCTTGAGAAAGCCACACTTACCGATGTACTAGTCACATACACATTTGCAAACGTATAAGTCGCTGGCCTAGCACAAGCTGATTTAGTCGTACATCCTGATTTAGTCGTGCAACAGATCGAAAGACACACGCTGACATAGGCACATTTGCTATAGTAATGTAAACGCACATCCCAGTCCGGGAAGGCTACATGACTCCTCTTGGTTGGTTTTATGATAAGTTAATAACCCTATTCGTTCATACTAATGCACCACACATTTCTTATAGATAACTCTTATCTCCTACGGTATGAAAGATATGGTCATACCGAAAATGAAGTCCTGCTCCGCCCAGGTAACTATGGAGGCAAGTTTGGCGTCGTTGGCACTGCAAACAGAGGCGGCGCTTGACCATGTCTGCTCATCCGTGCTGAAGAAGTAACAGTGGTCGTTGCTCTGTTCCCACCCTTCTGCACAGTACCGCTTATCTGCACACAAGTAAGATTGTGAAAGTGACCTGACTATAAATAACTTTGTGACCTTCCCTTTAAGGGTAACTGCATTGTTTTATTTGTATTAAGATTATGAAGCTAACGTAATTTATAAACAAGGAATATTCTGAAACTGACCTGAGTGCATAAAGAAATGTAAAGCTCTTCCAATTATACAGTATATACGGGAATAAAACCACCAGAAGTACAGTACATGTAGACTGGAGTATAATACTGTACAAGTAAGGCTGTAACACAGATTTGATTACTATAATAAGAAAGTGACAGTGAATTAACTGCCATCAAGACTATGCCATTTGATTAAGACTCGGAACATTAAGATAATTGCCTTTTTCATACGAATGAAGTGTTTAGGAACAGGTCAGAGAGGTATCGTTGTTTAATTTATTCACCGAGGTGTCCCCTTGCCAAAGAGTGAAATTATTGAAACAAGATAATTTGAAAATTAATTGTCTAAGGTTAGATGGCAAAGGAAGAATATTTTTGTGCGAGGTATACACAGACTGCTAGTCTGGGATATACAATATATGATTTTTGTTAGCCAGAGGGAGGTTCTGTAAAATGTAATTTCAACCCAAATATCATGGCTTTTTTAGATGAACCCGCAAGCCGATTTAGGGGTCGTGCTGGTAGCACTTTTAAGTACAGCTCGTCAAAACACTTAGCTATGAAAATACAGTATCTATAGAGCAAAGAAAGTAGTGAAATTTCTTCGCGAAAATATATTGCTGGGAATTTCTGGTATAGATATTATTGTTGGTTGATTTGGTGGAATTTTTCTATTCTGAATCGAGGAAGTGAATTGCCCAAACTTTATACCCATAATCAATCCACAGATGACAGCAGTATTCATTCTGAGAGTGCACATGCCTTACATTATGTATATGATTATCAACTGTTCAACAGTGAAATAGCGCCTGGCTCAGAACATGAACCTACAAGTAAACGTCACTATAGTAGTTTTGGCTAAATCTCTAACAAAATTTGTCATTGTAAGACTTGAAGCGCCTCAAACCTCAGTGTTGTGTGATGATGGGAGAACTGTGCTGTTGAGTTAATTACAAGGTCAATTGGTACCACTGAGTAAACTCGAAGTAAAGCTGGTAAGTTTTTGTTAACTTAGGATAGAACTGTGAAACTTGATTTAATTCAAAGTAAAAATGTGAAACTTGACATAACTCAAAGCAATTGTATGTCAGGCTTTGAATATCGAAATAACCATAAGTAAGACTCCGACGCTAAGTTAACTCCGAGGAAGAAAGGTACATTGAGAACCTTAAATTAAGGCTGACAATGGGCTAACTAAGAGCAAAAAAGTGTCACTAAGATAACTAAATATAGGGCTGTGACACTGAGTTAACTGACAGTGATGCCAACTTCACTACTAATTAGACTTTCAGTCTTTCACCCTTATTTAACTACTCTGATTTAATTAAAGAGTAGGGCTATCCTACTGAGTTAGCTGTAGGTAGATATGACACATGCAGTTAAATATAACTAAGACTAACAACGAATTATCTACAAGAAAGACGGTCATAATTAGTTAAATACAAGTAATATTATCACAGCGAGTAACGTACAAGCAAGCGTATCACAATGAATTAACTACAAGTAGATCGGTAGAACTGCGTTAACTACAGATAACACTGCCACACTGTGTTAACTCAAGGTGAATCCATCACACTAAGTTAAGTGAAAGAAATACCGGACTGTCAGACTGAGTTAAAGAGAAGCAAGGCTTTGACAATGAGTCAAGTACAAAAAGACTGACTTAAGTACCAATAATCAATAAAACTGAAACACAGAGGTAATGAACCACAAGCAAGACTGCCGTAATCAGTTAACTACGTGTAAAACTGACACGGAGCTAACTGCAAATGACAAAGGCATAGAATTAACTAAAACTAAAACTGTCATACTATGTAAATTAAAAGTTAAATTTTTCAACTTAATAACAATAAGTTTATTACACCTAAGTAGGTACTACTGTCACATTGATTTAACTAAAAGTAATATTGAAACAATGAGTTTACACTAACACCGAGAACAAGAAAGAGGAATAAGTGGCTTATGTACTCACTGTCCGGTGGTAGGAGATTGATTGGGTCGCCAACGCCCACCTCACACACGTAATGGCGAGGGTCGTGACAGTCCGTGGGTACCCAAGACGGTGTCATCTTTCCGGGATCACCTACCGACACATAACAGTGTTCATGCTCTCCCCGTTAAGAGTTATTCTAACTTAGGAAAACGTCAGATTCTGCATATGCCCACGTGTTCGTGACAGATGCGAGCAAATTAAACATAGTCCAGGCATTCTGGAATGCGTCAATCAATGGTACGACGTGTACAGGTCTGCATTGAGGCAGAGGGGGGCAACTTTGAACATTTCCTTTAGGTTGGAATAAAGAGGGGTCACACTGTGGAGATCTGTGAATATATGATTACAAAAACCTACGGGGGGTTTCAGTTCAAATTCACTCTCATTAATACAACATCTTAAATGTATTGTAACATGGGAACCATGCAGAATCTGACATTTTACCATAGAGACATTGTGGTTTAGAATAATCCTAGGATTTCATCCTCCAATTTAATGTACTTTTTTCTGAATCACAAAGACAACAAAGCCTAGGATCAGACATAGGGCGATTACATCGGTAACATAATCGATTACGATTATATGGTAAATTTATGATTACGATTACGATTACAGGAAAATGGATGCAATCGATTACGTTTACGATTACATGATGCGTAATCATGATTACAATCATGATTACAATCATGATTACTTCAAAAGAAATGTGCATAAATAAATGAACTTACTATAAAAATTCAATTTACTGTTTGTCAACCTGGTACAATTAAATCATATTTTCTGAGAGATGAAAGGGGTAGACATAATGCATTATACATAATGGTGAGGGCATTTAATAGACAAGAAATAAATCAAAATCTTAAATAGATGGATCTTAATGTTCATAAGAGTAATACGTAACTTATAAATACAGAAATGTATCTGACCTAAATAACTCTGAAGTTTTGGAATATTATGAACACAAATGCTTATAAGAGGATAGTAATTTAGTGCTCTTATAAAATTACATGTTTGATTTACTGCATACTGAGATATACCAAAGACATTACTTTCAGTAAATGTAGATTATCAAAACAATACTGTATTACGAAAATTCAAATTTAACAATATTTTTTTCTTAGACAAGAATTAGTCCTCAAAGGATTTGAAACATACGGTGTCCATTATATCAAAGATAGTTTCAAGAATAAAAACAATCTAATGATATTCATTTAAACAAATCAAAAGTACAGTCCATATTATGCATCAATAACTAAGAAAATATTGAGTGGTTATACCTTCTCATGTCATGGATATGGAAATTATAGCTTTTTATTTTTGTTGAAATTTATGAAAAACTAGACTCTGCAAGGTCTTATTAATAAGCTGGCACCTATCCGGCCTGAAGATTCGGCTAGCACACTGAATACTCTCTCAACAGGTGCTGAAGTTGCTGATACTACAAGGTAATTCATTGCGAGCTTGGAGAGGACAGGCATGGATGCTTTGTTTTTTCCCAGAATTTAAGGCAGGTGTTTTACAGGTAGCTTGTGACCTCCACAGAGCTTGTGTTTTGTATTTTTGTTGTAGTTCTGGGAGCAGATAAGTAGCTAATGAGATTACTTGACTTGCTTGGGGGGGTGTCAAGGTTGATGATTCTGCAGGGCTTGTGGGTGAAGGAGTCACTGACTCAGCTTCCTTTATTAGGGCAGTTCGTTGCTCCTGAATTTCACTTTCTTTACACCAAGCCAGTTTGAAGCGAGAATCCAGAGTAGCTGCCATCTTGCAAAGTACTTAGTCTTCAAAGACTGAAAGGCACCTCTCTAGGGACTGTCTGAGAGCATCAACAGGTTTGTTGTTGGATCTTGAATGCATAATTATCTGAATCCTCAATCATGGATACAAGGGATAATAAAGCTGCATGTCTGAGTGCTAGCACGCGTTCTCTGTTTGCTTAGACGTAAATCAGTGTTTACCAGCACGAATGTCTAAATCTTACTGACTCGATATTTTGTTTTTAGCAGCTAGAGTATTACAGATATAACATGGATGGTGAATGTTTGCCGAATAGAGATTACTGTATGGAAAATTATGATCTCAATATTGTAAGAAAAGGAAATGAAGTATGCACTTATTATTGTAATCGTGAAAGTAATTGTTATTACGATTAAATTTTGAATGCAATCGATTACGATTACTTCAAAAACTGTAACCGATTGTAATCGATTACGATTACAGATTACGATTGCCCCATGTCTGCCTAGGATTGCTTTTGTTGTCCTTGTGTCCTTGTTATCCTTGTATAACTTGATTTAATTATGCAAATGAATCATATCAACATAATTATTACGATTTCTCATCGGCGATTCCTTGTTCCAACTGCAACAGGTTATCAAAGTAATATTGTATCGTGTTATTATCGTAGTCATATGCTGTGTGTGTGTCGCGCGCACAGGGTGGTGTAATGCGTCTAGTGTGGCAGCAAGCACTGTTTGCTTCCTCTCGCCTTCAGCTACCGTCGCTGGCTACCCTCGTGGTGAACAGGGAGGCAACTTGCATATGTCTTCCCCTGCCAGTACACAGCTTCTTCACCATCAAGATTTCTGCTGTGCCTCCTCGTGGCAACACAAAGTAACTGGGTGCCTCGTGGCCCAGACTAGAACAGAAGGGGATCTCGGAGCAGCAGTGGGCCCCAGAACGACCGCGCATAGGCCCACTGGCAAATGGTCATGTCCTGACGCCTACCAACCACTGCCCCGCTACCTTGCTTACAGAGGTCCAGTAAGACCGCAACGGCAGTATAGGCGGAAGAGGTGACAAACATGGGAACCCAATAACTGCACCGGCAGATGAAGGCAATGCAAGATGGATACGCTACTAAGACGAAACCCAACTAACTATGCTCAGCAGTCCATAGCAACTCTCCCTCTCCCCAGTCGTTTCAATTGCTTGCACGACTGGATCAGGAAAAGGGAAAGCCAAAATGTGGGGTTGCAGCCTGCGCGCCTGCCTCATCACATAAATCAACTCACACGCAGCCATCATTCAGCTCATCATAATTCTCATTATCATCAAATTACCTATACCCCCAAAAGTCCTGTGGCGACGGACGAGTGGCGACGGGGACAAGGAAAGATGACTGCCGGGAGTCTCTAGCCAAAACCTGCACTAAGGCGACACAAATAAGATGGTCGTTTATGCAGTGGGATCTAGGCAGCAGTGCAATCTGGTCCTGTCTGTGCGAGTGAGCAGCCCGGTAAGGTCATCCTTATGCGGTCGAAATCACGATCATGATCACAGATCAAAGCAAAAACAAACAATACCACCTCTTATGGTCGATGCATGGAATGTCAGGACCCTTCTGGATACAGGCACAAATGAGCGTCCTGAAAGAAGAACCGCCTTTGTGGCCGAAGAGCTGTCTATGTATAAAATCGACATAGCAGCCATTAGCGAGTCCCGGCTCCCAGACGAGGATCGACTCACAGAACGGGGTTTGGCTATACCTTCTTCTGGAAGGGTAACCCTGCTGCGGAAAGAAACTGCATTTATGGAGTTGGCTTTACCATTCGCCAATCCATCCTACATAGGCTAACTAAAATGCCTGTTGGGAGGAATGAGCGCCTCATGACGCTCCGAGTCCCAATTAATCACTCACGTCATAACTTCTTCATCAGTGCATACACCCCAACAATGGATGCCGAACCGTGACAGAGTGCAAACTTCTATCCGCAGAGAAAATAAGGTTGTGCTCCTAGGTGATTTCAATGCCACAGTTGGAAGAGATGCTGACATAAGGTAGGGAATCATAGGGAGAAACGGAGTAGGCAAGTGTAATCCCAGCGGCCTACTCCTTAACGATTGTGTGCTGCACACAACCTGTGGAATGCTCTGCCTTCCTCTGTGTTTCCATACTCACACAATCTGTCTCACTTCAAAAAGCTGGATTTCCGGCATTTTCGTGGTGTAGATTAATATAATCTTTTCTTTTTTTCTTTTTTCTTTCTTTTTACTCTTATTTTTTCGTCCCCTAGGCCAGTTGTGGGTCGATGACCTGTGCCCGAGTGGTCTATTTATTCCCCGTTAAAAAAAAAAAATATTAATAATAAAACTATTACCAATACCTTGTTTAGGCAGGCCGACAAGGTCAAGGGTTCGTGGCAACGCCCACGATCCAAACACTGGCATCTCATTGACTACATCATTGCCAGAGAAAGAGATCCCTGAGATGTCCTCATCACCCGAGCCATGTGTGGCTCAGATGACTGTGACACTGATATCGGTTCGTCAGAGCCAAACTCTCACTTCACGTCGCCCCAAAACGGTGAAAGCAGGAACCCTCCAGAAAGTGTTTTAACTCTAAGCGTCTGGAGAATGCAGCGGTTGCGCATGCTTTCAGAGAGCAGCTCGACCATGAACTGGTAAACAACCCGACAACAAACAACCCAAATCCCAATGCCTTGTGTGTGCGCGCGTGTGTATGTGTGCGTGTGTGTGTCAGCGCGTGTGTGTGTGTGTATATGTGCGTGTATGTGTGTGTGTGTGTGCGCATGTGTGTGTGAGAGCGTGCGTGTGTGAGAGCGTGCGTGTGTGTGTGTGTGTGTGTGTGTGTGTGTGTGTGTGTGTGTGTGTGTGTGTGTATGTGTGTGTGTGTGTGTGCATGTGCCTGTGTGTGTGTGTGTGTGTGTGTGTGTGTGTGTGTGTGTGTGTGTGTGTGTGTGTGTGTGTGTGTGTGTGTGTATGTGTGTGTGTGCACGTGTGTGTGTGTATGTGCGTGTGTGTCTGTGTGTGTGTGTGTGTGTGTGTATGTGTGTGTGTGTGTGTGTGTGTGTGTGTGTGTGTGTGTGTGTGTGTGTGTGTGTGTGTGTGCGTGTGTGTGTGTGCGTGTGTGTGTGTTACACTAAATAGGTATAATTGTCGATGAAGTCTTAAAAAGCAACTTGAAGTTTTTGCCGAGTCGGGATAACTTTATATTTTTTTGCTATATTACAGGGCAAATACGATTTGACGGATACATTTAGAAAAATAAGCTGAAACTTTAAGACTATGTAGAGGAGTCCTTCTTAGCTAATATGCTGAAAGTAAAAAAAAATCAGGTTGTGAGTGTTCTC